CAAGGACCTGAGTTTGATCCCTGGTACCAAAAAAAAAAAAAAAAGAGTTCAAATAGTTTATTAATATTTCCTAAAATTGTATATCTTAGAATTATTTTGAATTAAAACTTTCAATCAAGAGCTTACTAGTAAATCAAAGCATTGAATGAGAAATAAATGCCTAATTTTGCCTCCTAAGTCTTCAAAATAACTGAAAAAATAATTTTGAAATGAAGATGTTTCTCTAGAATTTGTCACTTACCGCTTGTCCATAATTCTTATATGACACAGTTTTAAATTTAGACAACTCCACCACTGTCAGAACTATTGCAATCAACCCAGTAATTATGCATAAGATATCCAGGCCTAAAGAAGACACAATCTGAAAGGGAGACAGAAGAAGTTTATTATATTCAGAATGGACATTTTGTTTAAATTGTTTGTTTTGCTAATAAGGTGATCCAGTTGTGAGGATTTAGAAGTATCTGTATGCTCACAATTTATGCAAATATTTTTCTGGATTATAGGAAACCCAATTAATCTAGAGGAAACATTAAAATACCATCAAGCTAATAAGCATCAATCTTCCAATTCCACTGGGGTACAAACATATTGCATTTTGTAATCTGGGATTTTAATCCAATTTAATCAGACACCAGGGTTCCTTTTTGGGTATATGCTGCAGTATATAATGTTTACATTCCTTGTGTGGAGTTGGTCCACGGACATAAGTCATCTTAATTTTTCTTCATCCCCTTCTCATCTGAGAAAGAGCTGTCTCTCTACTTCCTGGTATCCATCTTTTATCTTGCTCTTTATTTATATTTTGGGATTCTCATATAACAGAAACCATGCAGTATTTAAGCTTGTGTGTCTGATTTATTTCACTTAACATTATGATCTCAGGGTGCATCCGTTTTCCTACAAATGTCTCAAATTTATCCTTTATGGCAGAGTAATACTCCATTGTGTGTAAAAAGCAGACTAATTTCTTTCAGCTCTAAGATTCAAAGACTATTTTTTAATTCTACAATTTTAGAATCTTTAGTTCTAAGATTATTTTTCTTTCCAATATCCTTCCACCTACACCATAGATCTTTTTTTCTCGGCAAATACCTTACTTTGTTACAAGACATAATCCTGCTTCCAGATTGGATGGTTCAGAAAATGAAGTTTTACAGCACTGTAATGTCTACACATAAAGGCATTAGGTCTTATAATTTTTTTTTTGGTACCGGGGATCGAACTTGGAATCTTGCACTTGCAAGGCAGGCGCCGGAATCACTGAGCTAAATCCCCGGCCTAGGTCTGATAATTTTGTCTAGTCTTAATATTCATGTAATGCTAAAAGGTAGAACATCAGACAAAACAAAACTCCATTTAAATTTAGAAGTGTTTACATAAGGTAGTCACGATACATGATATCTACTGCATATTTGTCTACATTAATTTATATGATATTGGATTTTTACTTAATTTCTTCATGTGTTTTATAGGGAGGGTAGATTCCTTCATGGTTTACACATTATTTACTTTTGTGATAAGTGATATCTAGAGATATCTCAAACATTTCAACTTACCATGCTTTGAGTTGGATTCTTTGTTGCTTTTATTATGCAAGCTCCTGATATGATAAACTGGACAAAAAAGAGACATGTATAAATACTCATTGATAAGAATGCCAACTTAAATGGTCTTTAAAAATTCCCTCTTCTAAGTCAATTATTTTTACAATACTAACAAAATTTAAAGAAAGTTTAGTGGAAGGGATGAGGACAACTTTCCATCATGAAGTAATGATGTTATCAAAAGGTAATAGTTAGTGAACGTCACATTGGGGTCACTAGTAACACGAGTATATAAAGAATAGTGGACAGAATGCAGGTGGTCATATCAGTCACAGATAGCCTGAGAAGTCCTGCCCAAGATTCTTTGTGTTTGATTATCTCAGGACAATCCACCCCACCACTGTCACTCCGTATTCACTCTTGTACCCACATCTCTGGAAACAGCACTTATAAATCAATGGTGCTCAAAACACATTTGCTGAAAGAATTTAACTTTGGATAAGTTACCAATGTGGCATTTAGTTACAGAGTCCCCCTGAAAACAGACGTTAGGAATCTCTGCTGAACCATTATGTAGGAGACGTAGACAATCATTTTACATAGTGGCCAAATGCACAGCAAAGACCTCTATTTTTTTTTAATGTGGTACAGAGGATTGAACCTAGGTCCTTTGCACTGAGATGCACCCAGCCTCCTTTTCTTATCAGTACATGTTTGCAATACATGACTGCTTTCATTGCAGGTAACTGGTACATGTATACATGCATAGGACACATTTTAATTCTTCAAAAAAATTTTTTTTTAAACAAGGTCTCATTAAATTTGCTAATTTGCTTAGACTTGTGATCCTCCTGCATCTGCCTCCCAGAGTTCAGGGGTTACAGGTATCTACCATCACACCTGGCTCCCTCTTTTTTGTTTAGAAAAATTTTCCAACCTTCTACTATTGACATGGATATTATTCACTGAGTGATTAAATCCATATAAATGTCTACTCACAAAAACTCCCCACAGTGTGCATCCTGTTCTGTATGTTAAAGGTTCGTATTTCCCAAAGACTCCTTTAATTTGTCCCATATATAAAACCAACAGGAAATACCACATTAAAACATTAAAGATGCCAAGCATAATCTGGATAGTC